CTGGTGGTTCTGTCGAGGGGTGGCGTTGTGGTTGTGGTTGGAGCCGCTGTGGTTGTGGTTGGAGCCGCTGTTGTTGTGGTTGTGGTTGGAGCCGCTGTGGTTGTGGTTGGAGCCACTGTGGTTGGAGCCGCTGTGGTTGTGGTTGGAGCCGCTGTTGTTGTGGTTGGTGCTGTTGTTGTTGTGGATGGAGCAGCTGTTGTGGTGGTTGGTGCTACAGTGGTTGTTGTTGGACCAGATGTCAACGTCGTTGGAGAAGTCGTAGTTGTATCTGGAGGTGTTGTAATAGCTATTGTATTTACCAAATGTGCACAGCTTAGAAGAACTGAACTCTTAGTTTTTTGTAAGTTAGTTATCAAAAATATTTTTAGAATATTTTGTTGATCCAACTAATTCCTTCTTATTTATTGATCAGTGGTTCTTTTAATTTGTCCTTTGTATAAATATAAAATTTTCTGAAATTTGTTTATTTCTCTTACCTTGGTCACTAATAGCAATGGTGTCAGCTATTACGTTGAATTCCGTGATGTTTGAAGCCTCATTAACCAAAGTCTCTTCAATTAGTGTATTATTAGGAGTAGATGATGACTCAAATTCAAGGTCCACAGAGTTGATAATTGATCCAGCCCTGCAAATGTATTAGTATAATTACTTATTGTCTACAAGTGCCTTCCTACAAAGTTTATAATTTCTTGAGCAAACTACAAAGAAATTACCTGAATGTCATAGCTCCAGTCTTTCGGAATGAGGGGAAAGCTCTTCTGAAAAGTGTGCCAAGCTACATGGAGAGACAAAAAAAAAGTTAAGTGTACAATTTTTAAAAAATGTATTTTTCAGAATATCACTAGATATAAACATCATTACAATTAATATATTTTTGTTGTATTTATTTCAATAGAAATTCGACATACTCCATTAAGTGAAAAAAATGAAAGTACATGGGGAGATGTTTGAGGAAAATTCAGACTAAATTCTAGGTAAGCAATACATTTTATAATGTTTATAAGATTCAGATGTATTTTTTAACTTAGACGAAAACTTAACACATCTTCAAGTTGAAGAGCTAAGCAAAATATGTATATTCATATGAAAAAATACAAATTTACTAAGCAGAATAAAATTTTTAAACAGTACAATGGAAACAGTTATGTGAGATAGAAATGTAAACGTACACGATTCCTTATGAGTTCAGAGCGTGATTGGAATGCTGATGATGATGGATCTCCCAAATCAGAGGTGAAATTTTCATTAGATTTAAAAGTGAGAAAACGGATTATTGCTGGAGCCGCTGTGGATGTGGTTGGAGCTGATGTTGTTGTGGTAGGAGCAGCTGTTGTTGTGGTTGAAGCCGCTGCGGTTGTTGTGGTTGGAGCTGTGGTTGTTGTGGTTGGAGCCGCTGTGGTTGGAGCTGCTGTTGTGGTTGGAGCAGCTGTGGTTGTGGTTGGAGCAGCTGTGGTTGTGGTTGGAGCAGCTGTGGTTGTGGTTGGAGC